GGAGACACATCAGAAAGTGAGGGAACTGTCAAGGATGGTGTGAAGAGGCTCAATCATTCCGTTTTGGAAAGTCAAGAATGGAACACTGACCCGAGGATCGTTCTAAATGAAGGCACCACAGATCAGAGCTCCGAGATGAGCAGAGAAGTAAAAATATTTAACCCCTCACTTGACGAGAGACCCGAGGACATATCTAAGGTCAAACTTGTGCTCTCACCTACACCTGAGGAGACAGAAGGAAATGAAGTCTAAGCAAAGTGAATTAATAGAACCATCTCTCCCTAGAAAAAAGGACACCATACAATCCTCAACCCATGGGAAACAGCAGCTAAATATTCTCAGAGATGGACATGTAAAGAACATCAGTGGCTTCCTGGCAGCAAGAAGAAGAGTGCAGAATGTGCCTGATGCGAATGGATTAAGCAGCATTTCAAGGGATGCTAACACTAGGATAATGGATTTAAGCACATCAGCTGGGAACAGAAGGGCTGTAAAGTTTCCTAGAGAAGGTGGACCAATGAGGCCAAAGGGATCCTACATAAACAGTAGAGTTGTCCAGGTTAACAATGAAGACAGACTGAAGAACCCTGCTTTGGTGAGGATCCACAATCCACAAGCTAAGGACATGATGTTCAAGATTGAGCCAGAAGAGGCTGGATTTTCTCCAGCAAGGAGTGGCATTATGCGGGTCAAGGAAACAAGTCCTCTTATAGCAAACACAAAAACTGGGGTAATTACTGGACCGAACCTATCAACAGATGACCAAAACAATCAAGACATCAGTAGGGTTTCTGGTCCCAGAACAGATGGCCTAAAAGATGCAAGTCAAGTAACTAAAATGACCAATGACAATTTAAGAAAAGTAAACAAAACTGGGATTACAAGACTCCCAACAAATCTGAGGAAAGAAAACCAAGGTGATGTGAGTCACATAACCACAAATAAGTCAATCTCTAGTGTTATGAACCAAGCTGAACAGCCAAACATGGTTAAAGAGGAAAAGCAGTATGTGGGACAGAGTGAAAGTCTAGTTGTTAGTAGTAGTGAGGAAGAGACTAGGTCCAATTTGAATATAGAGGACTTGACTTTCCCAGGAAGACAGGTGGAAAATGAAAAATATCTAAATCCAATTACAGAAACTAATAACAGACAAACTGATTTGAAAATGTTGGATAAGGCTGACAGCACTTTCAATGAAAGGAGAGTTTTGGTGGGAAAGACCAATCCACAAGCCAGGGACATGATGGTCAAGACTGGGCCAGAAGAGGCTGGATTTTCCCCAGCAAGGAGTGGCATTATGCTGGTCAAGGAAACAAGTCCTCATATAGCAAACAAAAAACCTGGGCCCATCAGTGGACCGACCCTGTCAACAGATGACCAAAACAAACAAGACATCAGTAGGGATTCTGGTCCCAGAACAGATGATGGACATGGCTTGAAATATGCAAGCCAAGCAACTAATGTTAGGGAGGACAATTTGAGAAAAGTAAACAAGACTGGGATTACAAGACTTCCAACAAATCTGAGGAAAGAAAACCAAGGTGATGTGAGTCACACAGCCACAAATAAGTCAATCTCTAGTGTTATGAAGCAAGGCATAGTGCCAAACATGTTTAAAGAGGAAAAGCAGTATGTGGGACTGAGTGAAAGTCTGGTAGTTATTAGTAGCGAGGCAGAGATTAGCTCCAATGTGGATATAGAAGACTTGACTTTCCTAGGAAGACAGGTGGAAAATGAAAAATATCTAAATCCAATCACGAAAACTAATAACAGAAAAATTTATTCCACAATTTTGGACAAGGCTGACAGCACTTTTAATGAAAGGACACTGCCTCCAGATCTTAAAGATCAGATGCAGCCAGGGATGTTCAGTGAAGGGGCAAATGAGCATATCGGGTTTAACTCACTGAGTGCAGGGACTATGAAGAAGGACATACCAATCCACAGTAAAGCCATCCTTCCAGAAAAAGATCTGGTAAAGCCCACCCTTGTCCCAACTGTAAAGAGCAAATCGACTGAGAGTACAGCGAGTACAACCAGTAGGGTTCAATCACTTGTAGTAGGCCAGGGGACAAGGAGAATTTCAATAACTCCACTCAAAGCTGCAGCTGTAGAGGGACCATCTCAGAACAGCAAGAAAAACATCAGCAAGATACGTGAAGTAAGTCAAGACAACAAAAGGTATGTGATGCCAAACCCCGATAGACACCCCATTAGACATCCAACAACTGTGATTTCATCTAAAGTCAACAACTTAAGACAATCTAATGTGATGGGCAACATGTCAGCAAACAGAAGTGTTGGGGTACATTCTAAGCTGTCCATCCCAGTCAGAAACAGCAATACTGCCAGGAAAAATGGCTATGGAATAATAAGACCAAGCTATATAAGGAAGCCAAACTTTCAAAGTCAGCCAAACAGAACCAGAGGCTTCAAGCTACAACCCTGACCAGGGGCCCAGTGGACTCTGGAAGAGGTGAGAAATTTTCTTACACAACCCATGTTAATGTTTACTTTTAAGAAAAGTTAAAGGAGTATTTACTCTTAATATACACCTTAAAAAGTATGGCAGCAGTGCATGTTTATTTGACACAAAGCTTACAATATTGTGGGATAAGTCCGTTTCACTGTTTGTATAGATTATACCCAAGATGTCCAAAAATTACTGCAGGTACAATCTATTCAGATAATAATTTCCAGGAAATAATATAGTATGAATGTATTCTTTAACACATGTTCTGTGACCCCGCACTTTATCTTGATAGTGTGATAGGATTCCATAACAGGGATAAGTGGATATGGATCCACATCTGAATAGCAGATGTTATGGTTTTTGTAGGCATACCAGCTGTAGGCATCTTCTTTTGTCTGATGTATCAGGATGTGGTGTCTTTGTTGAGCTTGAGGAAAGGCAAAGGCAAAGACTTTTTTGCAATGCATAATTAATGCATGCAGAAGTTCAGTACCATTCCATGCCAAGAGCTAAATTTACTTGTCCAGTGATTGGAGTCTGAAATGTGGCCCAGTGTAAACTCTTGAAACCACAGATAAATAAATCCAGGTGGTCAAAATTTATATGTATAAAATAGCCTTGGCATATCTTTTAAATGAAACCTTAAGTGTAGTCTGTCGCGTATAGCTTTGTTGTTTGGGTCTAACAACAAAGATGGATAGAAAACAATTTCAGCGCATCATCTTGCTCTGCATTCGTTTACAAATGCATATGATCCCGATTTTCATATGAATGTTTATTTTTTTTAATTTCAACCCAATTGAATGTAGTTGTATTGTGCTTTCCACAATAAATATGGTTTCAACGCAGCTTTGCAAATAAAAGTGCCTTAAAGCTTCTCTAGCTGAAAGATGACAATGGCAAAGAAATGCTCCTTAAGATGTTTAAGTAAATATAAGCATGCAGATTTAGGTTGTTAACACATTGTAAAAGCATTTTTCGTCAACAGAGAATGAGGTAACCTAAACCCATTTTTATTGACCACAGAAAAAGGACCTGCACAAGACTGCGCGGATTACATTACGAAATCCCGAAGGAATGGTGTATATAGAGTAATGCCGCAGCCAAAGAGCAGCATGCTTCCTGTTTTCTGTGACATGGAGTCTTCTGGTGGGGGCTGGACTTTGATACAGCATCGCTTTGATGGCAGCACAAGTTTCAATCGCACCTGGGACGAGTACAAGAATGGATTTGGTAAACTAATAGGGGAGTTTTGGCTCGGCAATGACAAGATTCACTTGTTGACAAAGGCAAAGAACATGTCATTGCGAATAGAAATCGAAGACTTTGAGGGTATCAGAGAATACGCCCATTATGACCACTTCTATGTGGCCAATGAAAGCCAACAATACTGCCTGTCCATTAGTGGTTACTCTGGTACAGCTGGTAATGCCATGCAGTTTAGTAAGAAGTACAATCACGACCAGAAGCTCTTTACCACTCCAGACAGAGACAATGACCAGTATCCCTCTGGAAACTGCGGGGCCTATTACAGCTCAGGCTGGTGGTTTGATGCATGCATGTCTGCAAACCTAAATGGGAGATATTATCAATCAAAGTACAAAGGGGTACGTAATGGGATATTTTGGGGTACGTGGCACAACATTACAATGGAATATTACCCAACCAATGACAGACAATCTTTTAAGACTGTTAAAATGATGATTAGACCTAAGAACTATGCTATCTAATACTTACCAACCAAAATGTAGCTCTCTTTTGAAGTTAAATAGTAGAAAAAAGGCAAGTGCCTTAAGTATATTGCTACTCTCGTGTTTACTGCTTTATTAATAGAAAATATAAGTGTGGTGTCAGAACTTGAATAAACATTGACAAATGTTTCTGTATCTATGTTGTTGTTTTTTGAGCTGTACACATATGCATTAATAGAATACATAGAATACACAACTGAGCCCTCTTGTGTTGCTTTGAAAATCCTGTATTGCATAAGACATATGAAACCATGCTATTTAGCCTACAGATTCAGCAATTATCTTGTATATTGTATTTTTTTTAACTTACAAACACTAAAATGTTTGCAAGTCTGGGCCAATCCCATGAATACGTTTACATGGATATTTACAGAATTTCTTGTCAGCTGTCTATTTTTTTTCAATACAAATAGCTGGATTTTACCAGCTGAGTAAAAGCATCTGTCATTTTCATTGTACACTGTAGGAATTTTGAATTTTAATGAACACTAAGTGTCATTTTCAAACATTGTATGTATGTATGTACACCCCAAAAACATCCTTTATCCAGACGACTCATTCTAAGAGGAAATTTCAATTTCAGTTAAAAAGGAGGATCATAATTTAATTACTTACAATTTACCATGAATAAATTACTACAACTCTACTAGATTTGCATATTTTGCTCCCTGCTGAATTGTAACACCTTTTCTGCATGATCTTGGAAACATTTGTAAATTTAATAACTGTGCACTTGCTGAATACAGTTGTTATAAAGAAAATAAATATGCATCTTTTAATTAAAAGGATGCTGTTATTATGTTTTAATATTATTATTTACACACTCTATACAAGAGAAAATGATTAATTACATTTCATAAACATGTATTATGTAAGTTCTGCAATGCAAAACATAAGTGTTTGATAAAGAAACACAGATTTATAAATATACACCATTATTGTAGAACATGTGTCGTTTCCATTAGCAAACCATGTTGTGTTACAGTACTGGTTGAATAAACCATGTGTACGCAGCACGTTAACGGTTATTTTTCAAATGTTCATTATGGTATGCCACTAATGATCTCAGTGTTTCACTAAAATGCAATAAATATTCTGAGCAACATTCACAATCAGTCATTTCTGTCACCTGAGTGGAAACTCACGACTGAGCCAAAATTCATAACCCTCCCTGCATCACTGTGAACATGAAACGTAGGCTATTCAGCGTAGTCACTCTTGAGCCTGAAAGAAACAAGCAATTCCTGATAAAGAGCTTGAAACAGCTGTACATTCTTATTGTCCGTTGTATATTCCCTTCTTTATGAATAACATCTACTTTCGAGATGATTTTATTCCTGAAGAATACAGTAAAGACTTCTGCTGGCTTTCAAAGAACACTGTTTATATGTTCAGTCTCTTCTGAAGTGGAAAACGTTGTAGCCCAGCTCCACCATAGCTCCGATGAGCAGTGCCCACAGAGGGAAGCAAACCGAGCTCACCAAGATGTCCATTAGGCCATCTAATTTGGCACAGAGCGTCAAACAAAATGCCAGTTTAAGCAGCATGGCCACGAGGTACCACACGGGCTTCTTCAAGTTCTCCGCCCCATTGCGAGGGTCGAACCCCGGCTTGCAGCGGCCAGCCATTTTGACAATGAGCATGAGGAGGAGAATAAGATCAAAGGTCCAGACAGGAAGGAAGATGAGGAACCAGTTCCAGATGATCTTCCCGTCCAACTTCAGGACCAGCATAATAAGGAATATAAGTGTGAAGATCCATGACAGGAGGACTCTTTGAGCAAGAGACATGTTCATTTGAAACGCTGGCCTAAGGGCACAGCAATAAGCTGATCTGAAAGAGACAAAACAACTATAATCGGAAGTATGGGTTCAATTTACATTCAGCCAGTTAATTTCATCTAGTGGAGTTCATGCTGCTACTAAAGGAAAAAAAGGAAATTCATAATAATAATAATAATAATGTAAAATTACATTAAAAACAAAAATAATATAAATGCATTCATAATATCAGTATTAATACATAATTAACATATTTCATTAATTAATAGATTTAATATACACTTTTTAACCCAGTTTTTCATTGGATGTTACGTTGATATTACAAGCCGACATAAATTACATATTTATTTAATAAATAGCAGCAAATTCATTATGAGTTATGAGATGACATGCAAATTCACAAATGGCTAAAGCTCAGTTTATTATTAGTTGAACATTAAATCGTTCATTTTTACATCTTAACATACTGCAATGACCGATTTGTTCAAATGTAAGTTAACCCGTTTTAGTTACAGCAACGTTAAGTGCCTCTACACTTATTTAACTACCCATCAAGCTGTATTTATCATGTAAGACAGAGATGTGCGGTCTCACTAATAAAAGAACATTTGTTTTATTTATCCATATTTTATCTTGACTGTCCCGTCCTGACCCATTCTTAAAATGAAGGAGCTGTTCATTACTAGCGCAAAACTAACGCTAGCATACACAGTCCTAAGTGTTTTATGTGTTTACGAAGGCAAAACGACGTAAATAAAATAATAATTATAAAAAAACACATTGACGGAAAAGCTTACAGATGATGAAGCCAACCCGGCTGGCCTTCTAGTCAGAGGGTTTGCTTAAAACCGATGTCCCCTTTCCGGACTGTGTGTTTGAACCTTTGAACACCGACGTTTTCAAAACAACTTCTCTTGAAGTACTAACGTCAAGTTGAAGTGCGCACAGCGCCACCTACCGGACTGGAGGATGCGCAGGCGCATTCAGCTCAATTCAATTCAATATCGTTCCAGAGGAAATTTACGAATAATTGTGCCTTACAAACTATCAGATATTTATACATGTTTATTTATTTTATTTGCATTAAATCTTAATTTCTCATGAACGCGCAGCCGTGCAAACTATAAGGGCCAAGGTCAGGAAGTATTATTCCATAAATAATACATTTTCGGTTTGTTTTTCACTAAACCCTACTGCATACCGACAGAACACTTGAACTACGACACGTGTCGCATAGGACCAGTCTTTGACACCTCTGAGTCTTTTTTTTTTTTTACTGTATGTTGGTCGCTATTCCCTGCCATTATATGGACGAGCGCTAATGAGACATTTCTTTGAACAAAGAAGGGCATACAGCATTATTTCCCAATCCAGTCTTCATTTTTGGGTGAACTATCCCTTTTAGCTGGTATGTCCAGCTAAGATGATCTACCAGCATTTGATCTCATTTCGCTTCTGAAAAAAAGACAACAAAAACAGAATTAAGCAGGAGAGCGGTAAAAACAACAACAAAAAAATAGCCTCCTGAGAACCAGAAATAAAAAGCTTTGTGAATTTAGTATTTTTTTCATGCCATTACATTGTTTAGAGCATAAGAAACAAATGGTAAAATAAAATTTTTGAAAAATTATATTTTATTCATAAGTTATGCTATGTCCTCTGTAGAGGACACCAGGACTCAGTTTTTCTAAAAAAATAAAATGACAAGTGTAGACATGAAAAGGCAAAAACAATGGGGATTTTTTTAAAATCGCAAATCAATTTTTAGGTTTCAGGATTTTTTTATAACTTAACTTTGTTTAAGGATGGTTCTCAACTATGTTATAAAATATATAACAAAATGATTTAATATACCATTTTGCTTTATGCAATATGTGTGTAAAAATTCCATAAATTGGTTTTCCCATTAAGCACAATGTTATCTATACACTGCCCATAACATTTTCCTGAGATGTTGATTTATGACAAACAATTTGAAAATGAATCAGATTTAAATGATTATTACAAAATATTATCATATTTCCATAAGGATGTACAATTGTATCACTAAATTAATGTCAGCCATTTTTAAAAACCAAGGAGAGGTCATGGTGAAACATCCAATCATTTGGTATCTCTGGAAAGCCCTGAATGTGCTCTGTACAGGACATCCAGACTTAAAACTGTGACATGTGAGGTCTCAGAGAAATTCACTAAAATATAATGTCCACTACAGAGGCAAAAACTCCATAGCTGGGTCTCAGGAGGATATAGAATAAAAATAAATGGTTTGAAATATAAGAATGTTACTAAAAAACACCATTGACATGTTTATTCAGCCTCAAGATGGCACTCTTTCACTATTTTGAGTTGTTGGGCTTCTGTTAAGTGACATTGCTAGCAAACTGCTCCTTAGCGAGTCTCTAAAGATTATTATCCTGTACTATATGCCTCTGTAAAAGCAACATTTGTCATTTTCCTTGCACTTTAATTGCTATGAAAGTACAGAAGAAAACTTTTCATATTTCTCTCAGGTTGATGCCACACCTGAGATAACCATCAGAATCCACTAATTTCCAATTAACTATTACAATTACCCGTTTTCTAAAATAGCCTTTAGGATCCAGACAAGAAGGTGCAGGGTGCATTGATAGCACACAAAAAGCCACATCCATGCTGAATCAGTTAATGAGCTTATTACCCTTTGCAAATGTCCTGTTGTGGCTGCCATTACTGAGGCCTTAAGGGGGTGTCAGCACAAAAGCCAGGTAAGAATACAGCAGCTTCTTTGCTCCGTGTTGCTTATCAGTGAAACCACACAACTGCAAGCTGCCTTGAGGCCCTGAGCCGAGGACGCTTTTTTAATTGGGTTAGTCTGATTCTGCAGCCTGTTGCCACCACACGAGTGAATAGTGAGCTGGAAAAAGCAACCCTCTGCCTTTTTATGAGGATGCACAAGGTGTTTCAGACTACACACACGCCTGGAACACTGCTGCTCCATTATAAACTGACCACAGTTCTTGCATAGTAAAAATAGTTTTTTATGTAGCATTTATAATATTGCAGGAGCATTTTATAGGATCATAGTAACCTCAGTTAAAACCACTAATCTACTTAGATATTTTAGGCAATATAGAAATCCTGGCCAGGACGCGTCCTGGGAAAATGGCACGTATGGTTTCCCTAATGAAATGGAAGTTGCAAATAGCATGCCATATAAAGTCTGATCACTCCAAGAACGAGTTTAAAATAAATACTTGGTGAAAAGTTGATCATCCAAGATGCAGATGTGTTTGTTTCTTCATCAAAACAGATTTAGCATTACATCACTTGCTCATCAATGGATCCGCTGCAGTGAATGTGTGCCAAACAGCTGGAAAAAACATCACAATAATCCACAAGTAATCCACACGACTCCAGTCCATCAATTAGCATCTTGTGAAGCGAAAAGCTGCGTGTCTGTAATAAATCAGTAATTTTTACTTTAAACCATTGCTTCTGTGCTTCATCTGTGAATTTCTGTTGGCGCTTTCGACAGTGGACAGGGGTCAGAATGGGCACCCTGACTGGTCTGTGGCTATGCAGCCCCATACGCAACAAACTGCGATGCACTGTGTATTCTGACACCTTTCCATCAGAACCAGCATTATCTTCTTGAGCAATTTGAGCTACAGTAGCTTGTCTGTTGGGCCAGCCTTCGCTCCTCACGTGCATAAATGAGCCTTGGCCATCCATGACCCTGTTGCCGGTTCACCACTGTTCCTTCCTTGGACCACTTTTGATAGATACTGACCACTGCAGACCGGGAACACCCCACAATAGCTGCAGTTTTGGAGATGCTCTGACCCAGTGGTCTAGCCATCACAATTTGGCTTTTTGTCAAACTTGCTCAAATCCTTACGCTTGCCCATTTGTCCTGCTTCTAACACATAAATTTTGAGGACAAAATGTTCACTTGCTGCCTAATATATCCCACCCAATAACAGGTGCCGTGATGAAGAGGTAATCAGTGTTATTTACTTCACCTCTCAGTGGTCTTAATATTATGCCTGATTGGTGTATGAAAATAAATAAATGTAAAAATAAATCATTTTCCAGATAACTGTATGACAGTGTGGTTTATTACTAAAAACTATGAGTTTGCTTTTTTCTGTGTGACATTTGATCATTGAATTGACATCGAACTGACAAAAGGATCAAGAAAATGTACAACTGACAGTATCCCCCTTTCCTGTGGCTAAAAATGGTAAAGTCTTTCTTGGACTCCAATTTGGCCCACATAGTTTCAGTTGAACATTTCTATAGTTCGAACTGTAGCATGTGATTTACATTTACTGCACATGACATGGTTCTATAATTGTCCTTCATGTCAGTCGTCATAACCATCCTCTGTTGCTCCATCCCAGTTTAACAGCGGTCTTCGTTCTGGAGAGACAGACGGCTTGATCCGCTGCCACCGACTGGGTGGCCAGATGATGTGAGACGCCCGACCATGGACAAGACCAAGAGAAACCTGTGGAGATCCGAATCATCAAGCTCCTGCTTATAAACTACCATGAAAAGCTCTATAAAGTCAAACAAAATGGTCTATTTCTTAAGGAGAAAGTAGCTTTTGATAGACAACACGTTTAACAAAGAGCAACTGGAACAAGAATTACATGCTTTTCTCATCTTACTTCACCTCTCAGTGGTCTTAATATTATGCCTGATTGGTGTATGAAAATAAATACATGTAAAAATAAATCATTTTCCAGATAACTGTATGACAGTGTGGTTTATTACTAAAAACTATGAGTTTGCTTTTTTCTGTGTGACATTTGATCATTGAATTGACATCGAACTGACAAAAGGATCAAGAAAATGTACAACTGACAGTATCCCCCTTTACTGTGGCTAAAAATGGTAAAGTCTTTCTTGGACTCCAATTTGGCCCACATAGTTTCAGTTGAACATTTCTATAGTTCGAACTGTAGCATGTGATTTACATTTACTGCACATGACATGGTTCTATAATTGTCCTTCATGTCAGTCGTCATAACCATCCTCTGTTGCTCCATCCCAGTTTAACAGCGGTCTTCGTTCTGGAGAGACAGACGGCTTGATCCGCTGCCACCGACTGGGTGGCCAGATGATGTGAGACGCCCGACCATGGACAAGACCAAGAGAAACCTGTGGAGATCCGAATCATCAAGCTCCTGCTTATAAACTACCATGAAAAGCTCTATAAAGTCAAACAAAATGGTCTATTTCTTAAGGAGAAAGTAGCTTTTGATAGACAACACGTTTAACAAAGAGCAACTGGAACAAGAATTACATGCTTTTCTCATCTAGTGAATAGAAAGCAATATATCTCTAGCTAGAAGAGAAAAGGACCTCATTGCTTTTTATAGCCAGAAGGACATGGGAGAGATTCCAACAAGCTCCCAAAAACCTTGATTTGGAGGGTATTGTAAATACCTGCGAGGTTTGGAGGGACTTGAAAGGGTGATAATGTACACTGAAGCAGAGTAACCACTGTTGAGGATTATGTGATACGTTTTCATGTCTAAAAGCCTGAGCAGTAGTTGTTCATCTTCAACATTGTTAACAGCGGGTTTTCTTTAATAATGCTCACTCATCAATTAATTAATTGCTTAATTATCCCATTAACTTGAACTCTGCTTCAGTGTTACTTTAACACTCTGTAGATTGGGACAATATGTACTCTGAGCAGAGTTGATTTAACTCTGGGGATTTTGCTGTGTATAGATTTCACAAATCGTTGGGTTTAACAGCATGACAAGACCACAATATGAGTCTGAAATACTATAGAGAAGCTCTGAGAAGAACCTTACTGGGTCCATTTAGTATCACTGATATACTATTATAGTATAGTTTTTGTAAAAAAAAAAAATTCATCAAGTCTTGAAGACTCTTTAAGGATTAGTTCACCCAAAAATGTCATTCCAAACCTGTATGACTTTTTTTTTTCCATCTGTGGAACACAAAAGATGATTTTGACAAAAAGAAGGCTTTTTGTCAATACAAAGAAAGTCAATGTCCAAAGCAAGACATTTTGTCTTACAGGTTTGGAACATGAGTTAAATGATGACAGAGTTTTTTATTTTTGGCTGAACTATCCCTTTAAGCCCATAAATTGGATGTCTGAGACGAATCCGTGTGACATTTTGCACTGTTTTGTGGGCAAAATAAACACAAGGTCTCAGACAGTCAGGATTTTGTGACCTGACTTTCAATCAGTGGTTTGTGAAATGCTGGAGTCTTGTCAGTATTCCAGAATCAAAATATTTTGAACAACAACATTAGAAGCCTTCGTAGCATTAAATATCAATCTAGATTCTCAGAAAGATTTCAATGTTGCCTTGAAAAGGACATTAACTGAAAAAAAGACTCATAAAGACACATCGTACTGCATAATACATCAAGTCAAGGTAACGGTGCAGTCTGTACCGACAAAAGTGAAAGTAATTGCCTGAAACATCCAGCGAGAATATTTGCTTAGTGATATATGACCTGATGGTTTTTCACCAAAAGTATCTCACACTTATATGTTCTGGCCTGGTCTCTGGGGAAAACCAAAAGCGTTTTTGGTAATGGATGTGAAACAATAATAAAAGAGATTTAGGAAGTATGTGGTTCAGTGAGAAACATATTCATTTGCTTTCTGACAAGAAACATCATAAAAAATCCACCTGAGGACAAACACTCGAAAACCTCAGCCGGTGCAAAACCATCAAAACTGAAGGAACGCAACAGAGTTGTGCTGAGTCATTGACTAAATGGACAGAACAATTTGTTTTACTTTCTCAATTCAAGTAAGCAAATCCCAACATTTCAAGGATGAATCTGAGCAAAAGATCTTGACGTATTGTGAATGATTGTAGCGAGTCATGTCACAGTCTGAGCTGAGACGGGAGAAAGAATCACTGCTCTGTTTAATAATGTATCTGAGAAGCTGTGCAGCAAAGAAACTTCTTCAAAGAGCCAATAATACCTCAATCTCTATACATTACAGGCGGGGGCATTCGAGCACATCAAGGCTGTTAACAAAGTCCCCAGAAAGCGGCAATCTTTGGCGGCGTTTGTTGAATTTTTTATAACCACATCTATTTGTGGCTAAATCTGCCTATGGTGGTGACTTCCAGAAAAGATCCTTTGAAACTGCAGCCTGAAAGACAGTTTCCATCGGTCATCTGTGGGATCAGACAAATGTATAACATCTAATGACGTGCCTGAGAAAATCACTAGCTGAATACTTGTTTCGTACTGTAGTTGACCAGTAATATGCTATTTTATTTTGAAATTGAAAATACGTGCCAAATTGATTTTTAGTTTGCGTCTTTACCTGCTATAGTCAACGATTAAATAAAACAATTTAAATAACTTTTTTTATGCATGTTATTTACACTACCATTCAAAAATTTGGGGTCGGTAAGATTTTTAATGCTTTTGAAAGAAGCTCATCAAAGCTGCATTTATTTGATCGAAAAAAACAAAAAACAAAACAAACAAATAACAACAACAAAAGAACAGTAAAATTGTGAAATATTATTTCAATTTAAAACACTTGTTTTCTATTTGAATATATTTTAAAATGTAATTCATTTCTGTGATGATTAAGCTGAATTTTCAGCAGCCATTACTCCAGTCTTCAGTATCACATGATCCTGGGTCATATTTTTGTGCAAACCATAAGTTTTTTGATTTAAAAAAACCCCCAAAAAACACAGTATTTATTTAAGAAATAGAAATCCTTTGTAACATTATAAATGTCTTTACCATCACTTTTGTTCAATTTAGTGGATCCTTGCTGAAAAGTATTAATTTCTTTACAAAATCATACCAAATTTTTACATGGTATGTGTATATAAAACATTAATTACATTCATAATTTTAATAATATTTTAATCATATAAATGTTATTTTTAAATCTTGATGCTATTTTGAAAGTCTTATTGGTGATGTAACATGAATTAAAAAATATATATATATACATTTAAAGAAGTAATAATTGAAGCAGTTTTTTCATTATTAACAGTTTTTTCATTTCAATTTACAAAATTCTCTAAATGCCCATATAATATAATCAGTTAAACAAAATTTGAATACTAAATTTGAAAAATACTAAAAAAGAAAAACCTACAAAATCAAATCATCCATTGTGTTCAAAGTATTGGAAATGTTTTTGAATACATTTTCTTTTTTGAATATATATATAGGCCTATATATATATATGGGTCAAAGACGAAAAAGGGTTTAAGCATAAAAACAATAAATGTAATATTGCTTTAAATTGTTGTTTTCCCCCCCAAAAATTAAAACATTTTCGGTTTAATTTAATTGCAATTTTGTTTTTCCGAGCAAAAAATAAATATCATACATTTTCCCCTGATTTACAGATGAGACCCACTAAAATGTCATTCAGTGTAACAATCTTGCCAGGCATATTTACAACAAAAATCAATTTATGACAAATTAAAAGACTAATTACTTGTCAGGCATATTTACAACAAAAATCAATTTATGACATATTTAAGACTAATTACTTTAACCCCAAATACTAATTAGTTGTAATTTTACATTTTTAAAATATGCCACTATCCTAGGTTTTGCCTATTTGTCAGTAAGAATTTTTACTCATTTAAGACACAATCACATTTAACATGCTCCCTCGATGAGACCCACTAAAATGTCATTCAGTGTAACAATCTTGCCAGGCATATTTACAACAAAAATCAATTTATGACAAATTAAAAGACTAATTACTTTAACCCCAAATACTAATCAGTTGTAATTTTACATTTTTAAAATATGCCACTATCCTAGGTTTTGCCTGTTTGTCAGTAAGAATTTTTACTCATTTAAGACACAATCACATTTAACATGCTCCCTCATTCTTTTATATATTTTAATATGTACACGTCAGAATAAGCATGTTGTTTGAATTTTTACATAAATATTGTGTTACACTGAATGACAATGTAACATTATTTCAACCAAATTTTGACATTTTATTCTCCAAAAACTTATTTGAAACCTTAAAAGTAGACACTTTACTTACATTTAATGTGCTTTCTATGGACATAAAATCACTCTTAATGTCTTTGACCCATATATACAGTATATATATATATATATAAAAGAAAATGAAGAGAATATGAGTGATGCAACCTTTGCTGGCATGATTCTATGGTGCTGTTGGTGGTTGCCAGGGTGTTGCTATGCTAAAGTGTTTGTTAGTTCATTCCTAAGTCTCATTGTATGTCAAAGTATGTCTATGAGAGGTTGTCTTTAGCAAGCACCAACTAACTGATTACCGCTCCAAATGTGTTGCTGTCGAAGCTGTGTCCGTGATGGTCCCCCTCGATCCACAGATGTCCATCTGGAACTCTTACATAACGGTTTTTATATCCCAGCGTTCTGATAATAGAAAAAAATGTTGCGTTAACACAGTAATGGATTCTGGTTGCTTTTAATGCAGGAACATTTTTCATTTTTCGTTGTTTATGTTACAGTTGACCAGCTACATGAATCCACCAATCCTGCATTTGGCTCTTGGCCCGCTCTCTAAATCTAAGATCAATAATTAATGTTCGCACAGCTGCTGCAGTCTTTGTTTTATATTTAAGATGACTTTCTGACACAGCAATAGCTCATATCCATTGCAGGTGGTGCTGTGAGCGCTTTAGGGTGAGAGCGTGAAGGAACTTTCAGATTTTTAATGATAGTTTTTCTACATCAGCCATCACAGAACAAAATTAACTTCCTCTTCATATGAATCATCTCGAAATCAAACTCTCGAAGTCATCAGGCCTGGGATTTCCTCAACCGTACCCCAAGATCACCTTGAGATGTAATGTTTTTGGCCATGAATGGTTTGATGAGGCATTAATGTTTAATGACACTTAGGGCTAAACGGTGCATTTGTGCGATACAAGCATTTAAAGAGAACAGAGCCTGAACTGGCTCAAACACATCCTTCAAGCGGTTTGTCTGGTGCTACAAAGGCCTACTTGTAGTGTTGTAGTACACTTGGCATTAACATGCGACCTGTATCCGGATGTTGTCTACATACACATGGAATGTTATCCGATCAGCGTGTCCTGGTCCAGAGGTAGTCGAGGACGCATTGTGATCGCATCTCAGTGTAATGTAACGTAATCCAGCCATCGTGTCTCCATTCGCAGGTCGACATCACTAGGGATGGGCGATACCTCTTATTTTATTTTCGATCCGATACCGATATTTTCAAGCCCAGTATCGTCGATATCGATACCGATACTTCTAAACTAAACTGATCTTTTAAATTATTAAAAGAATATATAATCAGTAATTATACTCACTTAATATTAGATTTTAAAGCCGTGTTTTTTTTGTTTACACTGTCAGAAATAAAATATACTATACTTGTATTTTAGCCCTTTACTGGGGCAGTAACCTCAAAGGTGCAACTATACCCCTAAAAGGGAGCATATTAATACCATACAAGTATGCATGCTTTAAGGGTAGATAAGTTACAAAGGTGCACCTTTGAGGGTACCTCATGAAAAATAAACATG